GAAAGAAAGAAAGAAAGAAAGAAAGAAAGAAAGAAAGAAAGAAAGAAAAGAAAACAAACAAGGGAGCTGGAGAGATAGCCCAGCAGTGAAGAGCACTTGCTGCTTTTGCAGAGGACCTTGGTTCGATTCCCAGCACCCACATGGTAGTTCACAACAATCTGTAATGCCAATTCCAAGTTAGCTGATGCTCTTTTGATTCTATGTGTGCTAAGCATACATGTGGCACACAGACATACATGTAGGCAAAACATTTACATAAAACAACATAAAACAACTTATACTGGGGCTGGAGAGATAGCTTAGCAGTTAACAGCTATCTTAACCGCTTCTTCCAGAGGTCCTGAGTTCAATTCCCAGCAACCACATGGTGGTTCACAAACATCTGTAATGAGATCTGGTGCTGTCTTCTGGCCTGCAGGCAAACATGTAGACAGAATACTGTATACATAATAAAAAAATAAATCTTAAAAAAAACCTTATAGTTAACTCACTTCCTATTCCCTGTGTGTGCGATACATAACTTATCAGTGCTACAAATATGTTCCAAACACAGCATCTTTTACTGGACCCATTCCTTACTTTAGCTAATCCTAACCCTCTGTTCCTGGGTCTTCTCCCTTGACTCTCCACAGTGGCCTATGTATCCCTGCAGTCTCTCTTTCTGTTCCCATCCTCTGAGTCTGCGGTAGTAGGATATAATGGTTTATACCACGGGTTCATGGCATCTAGCTTCTCCTTGCTTTGACCCAAGACTGTTATCACATTAACTGAGAACTTCAGCCACACCTAAATACTACCTCATAAATGTTCAGAAGTTATCCATTTGCTATCAAGGAGAAAAAAAAAAGAACAAAAATCAAATAAAAAAAAAAAGGAAAATCTTGGCCCGAAATAGCTTTATGGCATGGCTGTTAAGGTATGAATGAAATATCCCTTGCTGGCTCATGATCTGAACACTTGGTCCCCAGCTAGTGATGCGATTTTGGAAAGTTATGGATGCTTTGGGAGGCGAGGCCTAGCTAGAGGATATATGTCACTGGATGTATGCCTTTGAAGGTTATACTAAGTCCTCAACATCCTCTGCTTCTTCCTTCTGTCTGCCATGATGGGAATTTCTCCAATACATGGCCCGGCCACTACACTGTTCTTCTAAATAGCACCCACCCTCACAGCCGTGTTTTGTTTTTTACGCTGAGTAGCTCAGGCTGACACGGAGCTCCCCATTTAGCCCAGACTGTCTCCCAATTACCTGGAATGCAACTCAGAGCCACTGCACTCATCTTGTCTTATTTTCTGCCATTTTCCTACCCTAAGCTTCGCTACATTCTCTATACTAAATCTTCCTATTTGTATTCTTGGTAAGTGTCTTTTGTGCTCTCCAGGGCTGCTCATTCATGAAAGCACCTCCCTAGCAGCATAATGGTTTTATTTGCTAGTACCGGGACCAAGTTCAGGAGGCAGTAAATGCTAGGCAAGTTCCCTACTCTGAGCTAGATGCTGAGCCATCATCATTTATGATTGTTCTGGCCTCACTTTGAAAGCCAACAACATTACTCTAAAGTTTCTTATGTCATGAAAGCTCTAGTTTATACACCAATAACTGGATATTTTATATACCAATAACTGGATATCTGTGTTGTTTCTCCTCAGGGTAAGAAATGTGAGATCGAGATCATATGATTTGTTGTTTCCCTTCCCCAACCTGCAGTCACTACATTATTACTTAAGTGTAATTAATTTATGGACTTGCCTGACAATGGGAAAGAGAGAAAGGCTATTTTACTGTGTCCCTACTATGTACTATCTATTGTGCTAGGTCATGGTCAGATGGAGATAGCATCTGATTTACTAGCATTAGTGTTCCTGGCAAAGGAGGAAAGGGAAAAAAAAACAGCCTAGCTTTCTATGACTCCCGATTCGGTTGCTGGAACACTGATTCAAAGAAAATGTTTCCACACTTAAGTTGACTCAAGAGTTCCTTCATAACCTGAGGTCATCACAGCCTACAAGGAATTCTCATATATCCTCTTCCCAACAAGCTTTCATTCAAATGAGTTTACTCACTCACACGAGAGAGGCTGACTCTCCTGGACAGCATTTATTTTAGGACTGCTAGATATTTCATTATTGGCAGAGAAAGAACTTAATTACGTCAGTCACAATTAAAGAAGTCATCATGGTAGTATGCGCCTGCAATCCCATCATTATTATCCCAGAAATAGCAAGATAAAAACAGGGGCATCATAGTAAGCCCAAGGATATACTGAGCTATAAGAGACCTTGTCTGACAAACAACCCAACCAACCAATAAAGTATCTGATGAGAAGGTATAATGATACATGCCTATAATCTTAACACATGGGAGACCGAGGCAGAAGGATGATACGTTTCAGGGCAGACTGAGATGCATAGCAAGTTCCAGACGAACTGGGCTACACAGCAAGACTCTGTCACTCTGTCTCCAAAAAAACAAACAAACAAAAAAAACAAAAAAACAAAACAAAAACAAACCAAGAACAACAACAAAAAATCCTTCAAAACCAAAAGAAAAGAAACAACAAATTCAAAACCAATTAACCAAAACCCTTGATGACAGACTTAGAACAGACAGTAAAGCATAGTAGTTTAGAGCCACAGCTAAGGAATACAAATATTGTGCCTCTGAATTACTAGATTTAGGACATTACATAAATTAGTTATTCTCTCTAAATCTTAGTTACCTGGCATAAAATAGGAATAAAAGGATTCCTATATAATAATATTTATGTGAATTGAGTAATATCTCAGGTATATGAACCATTATATATAACACAATAGCCATTGTCTGAACATGTGTTATAATTGTCACTATTACTTCAGCTCTTGGGACATATTGTTCCTGCCATTCAATATGTCATGGGGTAGGGACTTTTTTAATAAAACAAATTAAGAGAAAATAATATGAGGAAATATTATTGAGTCTCCATTTCTTTCATCCTTTCTGTTCCTCATCAGTGGAAACACTTCAGATGAGGGAGAAAGCAAGACAATGGTATTAAATATCCTAAAAAAAAATATACTCTGAGATTGGTTATAGGTAGAGAAACCTGAGCAGGACAATACACTGAAACTTATAATTTGTATTAGGGATTTTTCTCATTTCTTCACAATGCTACCAATCTAGCTTTAAAAAGGAACAGATATGAACTCAGGGTAAACAACAAAACAAAATCCAGAAATGTAGGGAGCTGAGACAGAGAAATTTCCATGAATTTCTGACCAATCTTAAGCTACCTAGTGTGAGGTTCAGGAGGTGAGAGTCAGGCCCATCTCAAAACTACCAAAACCAAACGAAAAATGAAAGACAAAATCAGAAAGGGGGGGTGTAGTTAACTTGGCAGAATGCTAGCCTAACGTGCATGAGGTCCTGGGCTTAATCCCCCAAACTGCATAAAACTGGGTGTCATGACAGATGCCTATAAATCTAGTACTTGAGAATTTAAGACAGGAGGATCAGGAGTTTTGGGCCAGCATGGGCTAAGAAGACTCAAGGTAAATCAGGAGTTTTAGGCCAACATGGGCTCAGAAGACTCACGGTAAAGAGAGAAAGGGAAAAACAAATGATAAAAATACTGTGTATGTCCATACACAGTCCCTGAAGCATTGCAGCTTGGCTGAGTTTGAAAAACATGCCCTCACTTCCTCCTTTAAGGCACCAGGGGAGAGGAGGAAAGACTCACGTGTTTTTGGCCTGTCCATCCTGGAAGCACATTTGTCCCACCAGAGCAGCAGACTGGTCCCCCAAACACTGAAATGATAAATGACAAGAAAAAATACTGAGCCCTAGGTTTACTTTTGTGGATTTTAATCCACCAAGGAGTGAAATATCTATGCCTTACATTTCCTCCCATTGGCATTCCTCCCATTTATTAATCAAGATAAAAGGTATAAGAAGGGAGAGTTAAAATTCTTTTTCTCCATTTTCCTCCCTTCCTCCCTTCCTCCCTCCCTCCCTCCGTCTCTCTCTCTCTCTCTCTCTCTCTCTCTCTCTCTCTCTCTCTCTC